TTTTATTTATATATTTATTTTTATATATGTATAAATAAGGTCTATAGAGTCTAATTTATATCTCCAGCTTTCCTTCAGTGTGGGTCCATCCACTGGTGTCTGGTTAACATAACCAAGAGTACCATGCTTGAAAGAGACTGTTTCTGCCCCTCCCATCGGCCATCTGCCAGCAACATTTTAAGTGTATATATTTATGTATTTGCCAAAATAATTATTGCTGGTTTTGAGAAGTATTTCATGATCAAACTGATTTAGAGTTCTCTAATCCTCATTGCTCTGAATAAGTTTTGCCTTTTTCTGAGATGTTACTTTCCGGTCTGAAGCTCTTAATTACTTTCATATTATATAATTTTTCTTATTTGAGGGTTAAATAGAAAACAGAGGAATAACAAAAAGTTATTGGGGTGGAGAGATGGTTCAGTGGTCAAGAACACTGTCTGTCCTTGCAGAAGACACGGGTTTGAATCCCAGCACCCACATGGCAGCTAACAACTGTCTGTAACTCCAGTTCCGGGGATCCGACAGCCTCTTCTGTCCTCTGTGGGCACTGCACAACATGGGTACGCTTACCTACATGCAGGCAATACACACGTATAAAAATAATAAATAAAATATTTTTTTTAAGAAATGTAAGATAGTTTTTACACCACTAGGTGGAGCTATGTGTGTACTTAATAAAAATGGTGATTGAATAGATGTGACAGGAGAGGCAGATGAAAACCTTCAAGGAATATATTATAATTAAGTGAAATTAAGCTTTTAACTGTTTGATCTTGGGCTGGTGAGTTGGCTCAGTGGGTAAAGGTACTTGCTACCATGTCTGAGAACATGAATTCAGTCTTCAGAACCCACATGGTGGAAGGGGAGAACTGACTCTCACAAGTTGGTTGTCCACTAATTTCCACCTGTGCTCCACAGCACACACATGTCCACATACATACACATGCTTATACAGATAAATAAAATAATAAATGTTAAAAAGGTTTTAAAAATAAATATTTACATTCAATAACATGTTTCTGGAGTAAACATTTCTAGCATCAGTAATTGGAACTAATACCTTCTAAACGTGTTTTCAAAGCAGTGTCTTGTCCAGAATCTTACTTGGTATTGCTATACATGATTGCAAAGTACATAAAAACAAAAAGTAAAATAAAAATAAATAAATGTTGTAAAAGATTAAGATTATAGATGAGTATGTGTAATGTTCACACCCTTCTTTTCTAGGTGCTAAATTTAAAGCACTAAAAGCCTGTGCCTTTTCAGAACGATAAGTCGAGCTAAAGTAGTTAGAGTTCATAAATAAAATCGTGGGAAAGATGGCTTGGAACGAAGGACAGCATACAATATATTTTTCTTGAAACTGGTGGTGGTGGTGGTGCTGCCATGCTGGGGGTTGAAGCCAGGGTCTCATGTACATTTATTTTTGGGAGAGGTTTCTGTGTTCTAACAGAAGTCTAATTTAGAATTCTTTCCCCTTTAGGACCTCTAGAGAGAAGTTGAGAGATTATCAGTTCAAACGATTGAAGTACTACTATGCAGTAGTAGACTGTGATTCTCCTGAAACTGCAAGTAAAATTTATGAAGATTGCGATGGCCTGGAATTTGAAAGTAGTTGTTCTTTCATAGATCTGAGGTAATCCAGTGTGTATCTTACCAACTGAATCTCATAGTGTAGCATGATCATAAGACATAGAAAGAAATACTTTCTGTTGTAGTCTAAAGTACTTATGTAGTTTTTAGATGAGCTGTCATGGAATGTCACCTTTACCAAATTTAGGGCAGGGCACAGAGATTAGCAAATTGTTTTTCTTCTCTAATTGAGAAAGTAATTTTCAACAAAACAAGTGAGGTTTATTATAATTTTAAGACACTGGCATCTTAAGATTGGCAGTAGACCAATATTTACTGAATTCCTTATTTTCCCCCATTATTACTGAAATTGCCGTAAATCAAAAACCAAGAAAGCACTAAAAAAGAAGACTGTGCCTAAAATAATCTGTAGTTGGAATCAGATTTACAAACTAAAATAAATTACAGAAAAAAATGAGCTTCACTGTCTGTCAGGAAAGCAGAGAGCTATTGGAAGGGAGAAGATACTGACTTTGAAGACAGCATTAAGGAAAGGTAGAGGACGCCAAAGAAGAATAATGCCAACTCTAATTGTGGTCTAAACCAACAACCATCCAGGAAATACTATAAGGAAAACAAGACTTGTTTCCCATGTGAGATTCACCCCCTACTTATTTTCTCTCTATCTCTCACAAAAAGCTAAAAATGAACTCATTCATTCTCTCTGGTACTCCTACCACATTACTGTAGGTGTTCCTTCAAAGCCCTCCTGAGTCTGACCTTGACTGCTCATGGACCCACAGCACTGGCACAAACCAAGGGTTAGGGTTTGTGCACCCAACTGGATGTATGTGGACCACATGTGTGCAGGTGCCTGGGAAGACCAGATAAGAGCGTCAGATCCCCTGGAACTAAACTTACAGACAATTGTGAGTCACCTGATAATTGTGAGCACTGTGGGTCCTGGTACCTGAATATGGTCCTCTGGAAGAGCAGCAAGTGCTCTTAACTGCTGAACTAACTCTCCAGCCCAAAGACTTGTTTCTTTTTTCTTAATTGAATTTTTGTGTATTTCATACACAATCAAATCATTCAACTTTGTACCTCCTTTCCCACTGGCACCTGCACTGATTTCATAGACTCTGTCATTTGTGTTAAGGTCTATCATGTCAAGTTAGTGTCCCCAGATGTCCCTAACTGCCAGTTCATCCACTGAGATCTAGTCAACTCTTTCTCACCCAGCAATAATCAGCTTTCATACACAGTCAACTCATTCAACTTTGTACCTCCTTTCCCACTGGCATCTGCACTGATTTCGTAGACTCTATCATTTGTGTTAAGGTCTATCATGTCAAGTTAGTGTCCCCAGATGTCCCTAACTGCCAGTTCATCCACTGAGATCTAGTCAACTCTTTCTCACCCAGCAATAATCAGCTGCCAATAATTCTTTGACTAATATTGGGCCCTGCTGTCCATTTCTACAGATCTGTGGTGGGTTTTTGTCTGCTTGAGTTTGAGTGGGTCTTATACATGCTGACACCATTGCTGTGGGTTCATACGAACAGGGTCTCAGGAGCCTGTAGGACTCTTTTTCTATATAGTCATGCATCTCCTCCCTAGCTCTTAGAATCTTTCCACCCCCTCTTCTGCAGTAGTCCCTGAGCCCTGGATTTTAATACAGGAGTCCTGTTCAAGGACCCACACTCTGTAGACTCTTACTCTCTACATTTTAGCCATTTGTGACCTTTTGTGTTCCTGACCCTCTGTTGCATGAGGAGCTTCATTGATGAGAATTGAAAGATGCATTAGTGTTCT